AACCAGCCGTATCTGCAATTTGGAAAAGCCTCTTTTCCCTGGCTGCAGAGCCTGGCCCCTTTCCTGCCCTGCTTGCAGACGGAGCGGATTAGCCAGCGGAGCAGCCTTGACATGCATCCAGCTTGGCCACAGGGCTGGACTGAGGAGCACCTCAGGAAGAAGGTTTGAGAGCAAAGAGCAGCAGCCAAAGGGGAGAGGTGAGGTGATCAGAAAAGCACCTGCTGCCAGCGTCACTGTCCCTGCCCTGGGGGGTGCCACAGCCCCCTTTACAGTCCCATCCTTCCCAGCTCTCTGTCCCTGTGCCTTAGAGTTCACGGCCGGGTGGCTGCGCAGGAGCCTGTCTCGGCACCTGCACCCTCCCCTTTGCAGGCTGGGGAGGAGGGGCTGGATGCCGTTTTTCGGTTGCTCGTGGGCCAGCCAGCGGACTCGGGGAGCGGCAGGAAAGGAGTGGAAGAGGGAGCAGGGCACAGACACCTCATCCCTGCCCGTGCCCCGAGTCAGCTGTCCTGCCCCGCCAGCCGCACCGCGTAGCGTCCCTGCTTCTCTGACACAGCAAGGCCAGGGTGCAGGGGCTGGCCTCGTCCCCCCAGGAGCGGCTGAGATCTTGACGAGGCCGTTCCCAGCTGGAGAATCCTTGCGTGAACACCTCCGGGAGCGGGGAGCACCTGCATCGCCCCCGCAGCCCCCAGGGGCCGGCCCTGGCAGATCCCAGCCCTCGCCGCTGCGGTGCGTCCTGCCAGCGAGGAAATCTGATGAGCGCAGCCATAAATTTCCCCGCGGACGTGGCGCTGAGCCCTGCGTGCTGATGCTGCATCCAGCCCTTCGCGTAGCGCTGGCGGCTCTGCAGCGGGAAAGCCTCGTCTAAGGGGCCAGGAGCGGCGCTCGCCCGGGGGCAGCAGAGCTTGGCAGCGGGCACAGTCAGGGCAGGCACGGCAGAGAGGGGTGGGCAGCCCGCGCGCAGCAGCGCCGAGGGATGGTGCCAGGGCTGGGGCTGCTCCCCGCGTGCCGCCTGTCACACTGCAGTGCAGGGGAACCCTGGTCCTGGCTGGCCACAGCGTGGTCTGTGCGTGGATGTGCCGGAAAGGCAATCCCAGGCCCCAGGGTGAGGCTCCGTGCGGCCAGCCCAGCGTGCAGGGTGGGACGGGGAGACCAGCTCAGCTGGCAGGACGGCTGCTTGTGCCCCCTTTCTAACCCATCTGCACCTCTGCTCTTCGGCAGCACCCACGGGACTGGGCATGGAGGTCATGGCTCCCGCCACCATCAATGCCTTGAATGGCTCCTCCGTGAAGCTCTCTTGCACCTTCAACTCCTGCTACAAGGTGGAGAACAAGCAGTTCTCCCTCAACTGGACGTACCAGGAGTGCAGGAACTGCTCTGAGGAGCTGGTGAGTCTCGCCGGGGCTGGGGAGAGGTCCTGGGACCAGCTTGAAGTAGACGTGGGTGTTCCCTGGGGTCCTGAGCCTTCTCCTTACGTGCGCTCCTGCTATCTGGCCCTCCTCCATCACAGGGAAAACCAGTGGCTGACTGCATAAAGAGCGAGCGGGCAGGGCAGCTGCCCTGGAGCGGCGGGACAGGCAGGTGCGAGCGGGAGAGGCACCGT